TGTTTATTTTCATTTACCAGTGGTCAGATGTCGCGATCTCAGAAGGGCAGCACCTCTTCGATTGGCATTTTGGCAATTCCTTGGCTTGCATGAAGATTGGAGCGCTGGTTTCGTTTGTCTATCTCTTGGACCGAACAGCATTGACATCACTGGGTTGTTGTAGGTTGGCGCTTGGATTGGCACTCTGCATTTCTACCAAGGTTAAAGGCAAGTGGGTGCAATTATCTAAGCGCCTACAGACTCCCATTGCTTTCAGTGGGGCTGCTTACTTGCAGCTAGGGACAGGAACCCCCATGGGGCTCTCGCCTCTAGTTGCAGGCAGGGTGGATTCGCAGGTGTGAATACATCCCAACCCTGAATCTAGGGAGGCCAAACTGAAAGCTAAAAGGGTCCTTTGGTCTCTCAAAAGCCCTCCCGCTGGCCAGTGTACTATTAACCACTTCAAGTCCGGACACTTTTACCCCCTTCCTGTCCAGGCCAATTTTGAGCTTTCAGCGCTGTCACACTTTGACAATTGCGCGGTCATGCAACACTGTACCCATATTAATTCTTTAGCATTTTTTTGAGACAGATAAAACTTTATTTTGGTGGTATTTATTCACCGCTGGGATTTTTATTTTTTTGCTATATAAATGAAAAAGTCCAAAATATTTTTAAAAAGTGTTTTTCTTATAAAATTTTGCAAATAAATAATCTTTCTTCATAAATCTTGGCCAAAATGTATCCAGCTATCTTTTTAGTAAAAAAAAATACCCAAATTAGTTTATAACCAAAAATTATAATTTAAAAAAAAAAATTTTTACATTCTAAGTTGTTGTTCCGTGTCTTGGCTGCTCGTTTAGCTAAGGTAATTAAAAAGTTTTTTTTAAATATATTCTTCAGACTTTTTTTAACATATTGAAAAGTAATTTTAACATATATTTGTAAATGCATTCCAAAAATGTAGATCTGTATTTTTAAAGACATACAGTATATTTGAAATGTATTTTTTTTTTAAATATATATTTATTTAAATATATTTTGAAATATATTGAATATGGCCAAAATTGTAGTATTTCAAATATATGTCAATATATTTGGGAAGAATATTTTTGAAATATATTTCAAATATATTTTTCTTCCATGTGGGATTGGCCTTAATGTGGACATGGGATTCCTCACTCATTATCCAACAGTTTTACAGACCCCCTCTGTGACTGTAGTCTCAAACCCTGCCCCCCCCCCCCCCCCTTCCCCCCACCCCAGTCTTTGCTTTTGCTCTGTCTTATCTCTAGTCTAATCCTAGTTTTATAACCATTGCTGTGATTATTTCTTTTAAGATTCTGCTATAAACCCCGAAAAGGGATGTTGAAGTAGGCGACATACCCCGAAAGGGACGTTGAAGGGGACATACCCCGAAAGGGGACCTTGAAGAAGGGGACATACCCCAAAAGGGGACCTTGAAGAAGGGGACATACCCCAAAAGGGGACCTTGAAGAAGGGGACTGTCACAGACCTGGTCCTTCCTTCCCCATCCTCCAGGTTTGCTGGCTGCCACCCTTCTGTCCCATCCATGCTGGGACTTCTAGTCCTCTTTGTCCCTGACACAGGCCAGACCTCAGCAGCCCCTCACCCCCCTGGCTTGCAGCCTGGCCTCCTGCTGAAGGAATCTACAAACAGGCCATCACCTCCCTTCCCCCTCATGCACAAATTCCTGGGCCCCATGGACAGGTCTGGAGACAGGGCCCGTTGCCATGGTAACCCGACAGGAAGTATCCGGTTACCAGCTCTATACTTAAGGGTGAGCAGACAAACCCCCCTGTGTGTTCTCCTGGCTGTGTGTGTGAGGGAAGGCTGTGCTGAGGGCCAGCTTCTCTCATCCCCCGTCCTCCTCCTCATCTCCTGGACTGTCTGTGCTGCCTGGAATCCCTGCACTGTGGAGGGATCTTCTGCTGTCCCCGTGCATCTGCCTGGATCTATCACCTACCTGGACTTAACCCCTCGTTCTCTGTGAACCTGCCTGGACTTAATCCTTTGTTCTCCGTGATCCTGCCTGGACTTAACCCATCCCTGCCTGGAGCCATCTGTGTGGACTAACCCTGTGGATTACAATACCCCTGTTGTTCCATATTGCCTTCCAGAGAACTGTACTGTGTTGCTGTGTCTGGTGTGGATCTGTGGACTAAAGGAACTGTTGTCTGTGCCCCAAAAACCTCCCCAATAAAAGCACGTTGGGTTCCGTGCAATCTGTCTCTGTGTGCTCTCTGGATCTCTTGACAGGGACATACCCCTAAAGCGGACGTTGAAGTAGGCGACATACCCCGAAAGGGGACGTTGAAGGAGGGGACATACCCTGAAAAAGGGATGTTGAAGTAGGCGACATACCCCGAAAGGGAACGTTGAAGAAGGGGACATACCCCGAAAGGGGACGTTGAAGTAGGCGACATACCCCGAAAGGGGACGTTGAAGAAGGGGACATACCCCGAAAGGGGACGTTGAAGAAGGGGACATACCCCGAAAGGGGACGTTGAAGAAGGGGACATACCCCGAAAGGGGACGTTGAAGAAGGGGACATACCCCAAAAGGGGACCTTGAAGAAGGGGACATACCCCGAAAAAGGGATGTTGAAGTAGGTGACATACCCCGAAAGGGGACGTTGAAGAAGGGGACATACCCTGAAAGGGGACGTTGAAGAAGGCGACATACCCCAAAAGGGGACGTTGAAGAAGGGGACATACCCCGAAAGGGGACGTTGAAGTAGGGGACATACGCCGAAAGGGGACCTTGAAGAAGGGGACATACCCCGAAAGGGGATGATGAAGTAGGCGACATACCCCGAAAGGGGACGTTGAAGAAGGGGACATATCCCAAAAGGGGACCTTGAAATAGGGGATATGCCCCGAAAGTTGACCTTGAAGAAGGGGACATACTCCGAAAGGGGATGTTGAAGTAGGCGACATACCCCGAAAGGGGACGTTGAAGAAGGGGACATACCCCGAAAGGGGATGTTGAAGAAGGGAGGGGACATACCCTGAAAAAGGGATGTTGAAGTAGGCGACATACCCCGAAAGGGAACGTTGAAGAAGGGGACATACCCCGAAAGGGGACGTTGAAGAAGGGGACATACCCCGAAAGGGGACGTTGAAGAAGGGGACATACCCCGAAAGGGGACGTTGAAGAAGGGGACATACCCCGAAAGGGGACGTTGAAGAAGGGGACATACCCCAAAAGGAGACCTTGAAGAAGGGGCCATACCCCGAAAAAGAGATGTTGAAGTAGGTGACATACCCCGAAAGGGGACGTTGAAGAAGGGGACATACCCTGAAAGGGGACGTTGAAGAAGGCGACATACCCCGAAAGGGGACGTTGAAGAAGGGGACATACCCCGAAAGGGGACGTTGAAGTAGGGGACATATGCCGAAAGGGGACCTTGAAGAAGGGGACATACCCCGAAAGGGGATGATGAAGTAGACGACATACCCCGAAAGGGGACGTTGAAGAAGGGGACATATCCCAAAAGGGGACCTTGAAGTAGGGGATATGCCCCGAATGTTGACCTTGAAGAAGGGGACATACTCCGAAAGGGTATGTTGAAGTAGGCGAAATACCCCGAAAGGGGACGTTGAAGAAAGGGGATATATCCCGAAAGGGGACGTTGAAGAAGGGGACATATCCCGAAAGGGGACCTTGAAGAAGGGGACATATCCCGAAAGGGGACCTTGAAGAAGGGGACATGCCCCGAAAGGGGACCTTGAAGAAGGGGACATGCCCCGAAAGGGGACCTTGAAGAAGGGGACATACCCCGAAAGGGGACCTTAAAGAAGGGGATATACCCCGAAAGGGGACCTTAAAGAAGGGGATATACCCCGAAAGGGGACGTTGAAGAAGGCGACATACCCCGAAAGGGGACCTTGAACAAGGGGACATACCCCGAAAGGGGACCTTGAACAAGGGGACATACCCCGAAAGGGGACCTTGAACAGGGGAACATACCCCGAAAGGGGACCTTGAAGAAGGAGACGTACCCTGTAAGGGGACCTTAAAAAAGGAGACATACCCTGTAAGGGGACCTTGAAGAAGGGGACATGCCCTGAAAGTTGACATTGAAGAAGGGTACATACCCCGAAAGGGGACCTTGAAGTAGAGGGCATATCCTGAAAGGGGACCTTGAAGAAGGGGACATACCCCGAAAGGGGACCTTGAAGAAGTGGACATACCCCGAAAGGGGATGTTGAAGGAGGGGACATACCCTGAAAGGGGATGTTGAAGTAGGGGACATACCACGAAAGGGGACCCTAAAGAAGGGGACATACCCCAAAAGGGGACCTTGAAGAAGGGGACATACCCTGAAAGGGGACCTTGAAGAAGGGGACATACCCTGAAAGGGGACCTTGAAGAAGGGGACATACCCTGAAAGGGGACCTTGAAGAAGGGGACATACCCTGAAAGGGGACCTTGAAGAAGGGGACATACCCTGAAAGGGGACGTTGAAGTAGGGGACATACTCCGAAAGGGGACCTTGAAGAAGGGGACATACCCTGAAAGCTTGTCCTGAAAATTGTATGTTAATGCAAATAAAAAAACTATCACAGACAGTACTCAAACTTTGTAACAAGTTTCTTTTTGGTGATATTAAAAGTGGCAGCTGCATTAGTGGTTTTCTGTTGACACCAATAATCGCAAAGATTTCACAGTTTTTTGTTTTTTTTTCTGATAGTACACAAAGAACTGGTCCTGTTAGTTCCGGGAAAATCTGCACTATATATACATTTACAGGTAGTCATGTTCTGGAAGGAAGTGACCTTTATATACACCAGGGGGGAGACAGCCTGCTCTGACACCTTGTGGCGGTTCAAGGATGATACAGGAGCCTGTCAGCTGTCCCCTCCCTTTGGCTCTGTAATATTTTCCTCCCCTCTACTTTCCCTGTAAAAATGAGGAAGTGACAGTATCGTTGTCGTTGTCGTTGAGAGTGAGAATAAAAAAGCGACATATCATCGGAGGACACAAAGGGGCTCACGATGTATACAATCCTCGTCTTCCTCGGCCTCGCTATACCAGGTATGTGTTGTTTGTACTTTTATTTATATATACACGTTTAGAGTGTTAGCCTGGTGAGCCAATTTCAGATTTCGCCTTTCTAAAGTAACACAAGAGCTCAGGATTTGTCTCAGGAAACTTTTCTGAGGAAATGCCATACAGAGCACCGTGTCCATTGTTTTGTGCGATTGTCTTGTGGACACGGGGGGTCCAGTCATGTGACTACGCTGTGGTCCATACAGGGGTATGACACTATGGGGGCCATGCTGGAAACTGTTCAGAAATGTAAGGACAGGAAATGGGGTTGTCACAAAATCTAAAAAAACATACATTGTTACTGTTTTCGCTGATTTTTGCACATCAGCCAATCATAATAGTGTATCAAACACTAGGGAAGTCTGTTACACAGCTCTCTACAGCCATGATGACCAGCCTATGGCCGAAGGGCCACATACGCCTTTTGGTACTCATTGTGCCGCCCTTGGGGCCCTGCTGACAGCAGACAGTTTTTCCCTGGCTAAGTGACTTGTTTTATTTTTTTTTCTTTTTGTTATTATTTGCATTGTTTTACTTTTCTGTGCTGTCCATCACTGTTCTGTTTTTATTTTATTTTTTTCTTCTGATCTGTTATAATGGTTCTTGCTGAGAAATATCAAATGTGGCACAAGTCTATTTTTTAGGAGAGCTGTAGAGAGAAAAAATATGGAAGCATTGTAAAGGGCCTGGATGTGCTCTCTAGCAGTCTCATGAAATGTGTCTTCAGTCTATGACTGTCTTTGGAGCATGTCCCCCACTCTCCAGGAACTCCTATATCATTTAGTCTCTAACTATCTAATGTAACTTGTCTGCAGTCTCTGATCATTTCTTGTATCAAACCTGCAGTCTCTGACCATATCTTGTAGCATGAATGCAGTCTCTGACAGTCTACTGAAGCATGTCTATAGTCTATGACTATTTGTTGTATCATGTCTACAGTCTCTGACCATCTCCTGTAGCATGTTTATATCTCTCTGAGCATTTCTTGTATGATACCAGTAGTCTCTGACCATCTCTTCTAGCATGTCTACAGTCTCTGACAGTCTACTGAAGCATGTCTACAGTCTATGATTATTTGTTTTGTACCATGTCTACAGTCTCTGACCATCTCCTGTAGCATGTTTATATCTCTGAGCATTTCTTGTATCATACCAGTAGTCTCTGACCATCTCTTCTAGCATGTCTACAGTCTCTGACAGTCTACTGAAGCATGTCTACAGTCTATGACTATTTGTTTTGTACCATGTCTACAGTCTCTGACCATCTCCTGTAGCATGTTTATATCTCTGAGCATTTCTTGTATCATACCAGTAGTCTCTGACCATCTCTTCTAGTAGCATGTCTACAGTCTCTGACAGTCTACTGAAGCATGTCTACAGTCTCTGACAGTCTACTGAAGCATGTCTACAGTCTCTGGCCATTTCTTGTATCAAACCTGCTGATACAACTAGAAAAAAAGGGGGGGGGGGGGATAAAAAGTAGGGATAGCACTATAGCGTAGAATCTTTGTCTCAAAAAGTTAGATAAATAGGACGTATCTGTACGGTATCTGTACCTATGCTGATTGGCAAACCGATATTAAAGTAGACATCTGGACTATCTAAGTATCTAAGCTTAAACCTGCTCCCAGCCCCATTTAGGCCCTACACTGACTATCCTGTAAAGGAAAGATGCCTTTAAGGGCTCTCCGGTGAAGTCATGGGTTGGCTTCAGGGAGGAGGAGAGAGCAGCACAGCAGGGCCTGGACAATGATATCACGCATAGACTTACTATGGGGGCATCCATTGTTGGCTGTCCCTCCTCTGTCCCTGAAGCCTATGGGAGCCAATGCATTTTGTAGCGACTCAGGCTACGTCGTCAGGTATGGTACATCAAGACTCCTCTGCATTCCTGTTGGTAGTGTGCAGAGAAGTGTACACTGGAGTTTGACATTTTTTTAAGAACTGGTCTACCTGGTTGCTACCTGCACCCAAAATGCACAGTTCAAATGCCAAACCTTTATCCGTTCAGATCTCCTCCCAACCAATTGGCTTCATATATACTGTATACTTACAGCATTTGACATGTCCTTCAAACATCACAGTAGGTCATTCACTTCCTTGACCTCAAGTAACTATTTGGCAGTCAGATTAAAGCTGTCTATAAATGGGTTGCTTTTTTTTCATTCAGCCAGGGGGTTACATGAAAAAAAACAAAAACCAAAAACAAATGTGCTCCTCCATCCACAAAAGTGAGGTAGATGAAGGAATCTTCCCCATTAAGACATTGTACTCTGACTGCGGGACTCTCTCCCATTCAGCAGAAGTCAATCTAACAATTGACCTCTGTGAAACAGGGATGCCTACACATGGATCAAAATTCACCAGTCCCTGCTGAATCAGCCAAACTTCCATCTCTGACCAGCTTATGAATGGCCATGTAGAGATGGCTGCTACTCACAACACTGGAGCTGCCATGCAGGCAGATATAGAGTGTCACATAGGGTCTACTCTTGTTCACAATGCTAGAGCTTCCCTGCAGGAGATAAGGAAGGTTCCATGAGGTGGCTTCAGGAGCATAAAATAGGATATGAATGGCTTCGTTCGGGAGAAGAACTGGGACATGCACAGTAAGAGTGGCAACAGAAGACAGAAGATCACAGTAAAAGTAGCGTTGCCACTCTGATAAGGAAAATCTTATGAATTGTAGAAATTAAATTTTAAAAAATGTATGTAAACCCCCAAATCTATGTTTTATTATCTTTGGCATCTGGCACCATGGTATACAGTTATCTTCGATTGGAACTAACCTGAAAATACTCACCTTCACCTTCCAACAATGTGGTGGTTACATCCCTCAGTGGCTGCTGTCATCTTCTCCCTGGCTACATCCGAGTTTTCAAGCTCCTGATTGGCTGTGGGGAATGACGCCATTCATGTGTGCGATCGGCAGTCGGTCATTCTGTCACAACTGGAGTATGCACACTAAGCTCACTGTACGTTCGATAGAAGACCATGAGTATGTAGGCAGGTACCTACAAGTGGGAGTTAATAGAGAATGTGGGTTGCCCAGGCAGGTAGGGATTAATGCCAATTCAGTGTTTTCCCAGGTTTTTCTCTGGGTCCTGCCCTCCACCCTGTGTGACGTATAAAAGGAGGATGGTTGGGCTCAGGAGGCACTGGGGAACACCTGGGAAAGCAGTAAGGATCCACCTGAGAAGATGTGAACAGCACCTACCTGCAAACCCTGAAGAGGAAACCTACCTCTTTAGGGATTTACCACTAATGTTTACTTATTACCACAAATATGCCTGGCAGCCAGATGCTCGTTAGTTAGGAAAAGTTGTGTCTGAACTTCAGTCTGTGATGCTGCAGAATCTCCAGTAAAGCTTTTGAACTGATTAAAATCCTGGTCTGAAGTTGCTACACAGTGGTGCGTGAAAATAAATAGCATATTGAAGAACAGAGCCTGTAAAGCACCCATGGGGTAGAAGAGGAAGTTCTCTACAAGGGGTTAACTCAGCATGAGTGATGGAGGAGAGTAGTTGAAGATGTGACGTAACGCGTAGGGTACGCTGATGACGTCAAGCCGCAATACAGGAAGTACACGGGCCACCATCTTGGTATAGGAAAACATACACATACTAGGGCCAATTAACCTACCAGCATGTCTTTGGAGTGTGGGAGGAAACCTACACAGGCACAGGGAGAACATGCAAACTCCAGACAGGTAGTGCCACTGTTGGGATTTGAACCAACAACCCTAGTGCTGCTAGGCAGAAGTACTAACCACTTAGCCACTATTTACAGAGGATTTCTGTTCAATCACCACTGCATATAGTGTATGGCCCATCTCTAAGCTGAGGTTCCGCCTTAATGCTGTTTTCCACATGAGCGTGGTCCTCCTAGTCCCGGGCATTGATGAGCGCATACACAAAGAAAATGTACCCCTGCGTATACCGGGCAAGGGAGCCCCACTCCCATGCAGGACGGTAAGTGTGTGTTATTGCAGAAGAGACATAGCCAGGGGCGGACTGACAACTCATGGGGCCCCAATAGGGGATCATGGGGCCCCTGTGTCCTTGCCCAAACTTAAAAAAGCCTATGAAAAAGGTACCAGGGGCATCTCATGGGGCCCCTACTGACCCCGGGCCCTCGGGCAGTGCCCGAGTTTCTAAATGTTCAGTCCACCCCTGGACATAGCGTACCTGCCCCGTGTCCTCCTTCAGTTGGTCATTAGGCCGCCTATTAGGTCTTCAGCTGGCATCACAATGTACATTTCTTCATGGTAAATGAACAGCTACTCATCATAGCCCATACCCAGCTCTTCCCCTCCCCACCACCCTGTTAGCCCCCCCAGAGCCAAGGAAATACCGGCTAATTATAGATCATGGGTGAGAATGTGATTCTCTCACTTTCATCTGACAATGTAGTACTAGAGGCCTGATTGGTGGGCCCACATTTTAGGGGGGGTGTCTGACCTTGGCTCTTGGTCATGGCTGTGGTGGTCCTACAAGGTGGCGGGAGAGGAAGTGTCAGGTTTGCTTTTAATGTTACTTTAAAAAATGTTGGGCTGTATGTAACTTTTAGGACTGATATAAAAAAATACATACTTGGACTGGCAGCGCTAAAGAAGAAAACGAATGCAGCCACCATGTCAAATGATTGGTAACTGCAATTTATTACGGTTTTGGTTTGGGGTTTAATACGGTTTTAGGCTAGTCATACATGGCCAGGTTGTTTCTTGTTCACATTCTTGGAAACTGCTAACTGCCAGCTATTGTAATTGGCAGTCACAATACCAGGGGCTGTGTGAACACCCAGTGACTACGGTACATCGAATAGGATCAGGGCTGTTCATAATGGGGTATCACCAGTCCTCCTGTATGGGGCTCAGGCAGCTGGGTGAATCAGGTGTTGGCAGGGAGGATGATCGGCACAGCAGGGGGGCAATCACAGGAACCAATCCCCTGCATGGCTCTCTCTGCAGCAGCTGAGAGCTAACTT